GAGAGGAGGAGGAGGAGGAGGAGGAGAAGAAGAAATGGAGGAGGAGGAGGAGGAGGAAGAGGAGGAGGAGGGAGAGGACGAGGACGAGGAGGATGAGGAGGAGGAGGAGGAGGAGGAGGAAGAAGACGAGGTGGGCTCTCCCGGGCTCGTCCTCGGAAGGCTAGGCGCCCCCCCCTGGGCCACCCCCAGTGCCCCTCCCCCCTGTCCCTTTCTTGTCGGCCACGCGCAGAGGAGGGCGGGGGGGAAGGGGGAAGGCTCCTCAGAGACGCCCCCTTCGTCTTGGTAGGCGCGGGGCTCGTCGATGGAAGTGAGGCCGGCGCCTGTTCTAAGAAGCGGCCTTCCTCCCAGGAAGCCTTCCCCACTCCCCTTGTCCCCCCAGTGCCCCTCCCCGACCGTCCTCCGTTCGTTCGTTTATGGTCGTCCGTCCGTTCGTTTGTTTGCTTGTTCGTTTGCCGTTCCTTCGCTCGTGGTCGTTTGTTTGTTGGTTAGTCGTCGTTTCGTTCGTGCGTTCGTTCGTTTGTTTGTTTGTTTGTTTGTCGCCCGTCCGCTCGTTGATTTGTCGCTACTTCGCTCGTGGTCGTCCGTTCCGCCCCCGCCATCGCCTTTGCCCCTGGCCCTGCCCCGCTGCCCCCCCCCCATCGTTCGGGAGGGACGCGGACGCAAACCGTCGCCGATTCCCAGGAGAATGCCGAGCATACAGGTGAGACCTCTGCCAAGAAACACCCTGCTTGCCTCCAGGGGGCCTTGGGTTTCGATGGTTTTGTTGTGGAAGGCGTGGCGTTCCCACACCAACAGTCAATGGACGTCCTGGGGTCTCAGAGTTGGGCTTCTAGTGGAAGGGTTCTTGTGGTCGGGCACCCCCTGTAGTGATCGTTTTCTTATTCGTTGCCTTGCCGATCGGCGCGGGCCACCGCATCCCCCCCCCCCCCCCCCTCCCCCTCCATGGCGTAGATCTTGTCGGTTTTGGTGGGGTCTCGCCCACAGGACGTACTGCTGCAAGCAGTTGCACTCAGCAGAGGTCCAGAGCCAGAGCCAGACCCCCCCTTCCCCCCTCTTCCGCCCAATGTCGAAACGCCGAGTAAGAAAACGCTTACATACAGTGGGGGCGCGCATCAAGAAGCCATATGCTTTTGTCAGGGAATCCTGGGTTGCTTTGCTCCGCAAGCTGCGCGGTGACTTCCCGCAGCCGTGCGAGAAGCTGCTGCGTTCAGGGCGTTCCGGGTTCCCCTCGGGTGCACCTCGCGCGCGGGTTTTCATTCTGGGTTTTTGCGATGGTCTCTTGCGGCCGCGCCCGCACTGTATGTGAAGTAGAGGGAAAGACGAACACGTCCAGAACATATGGAGAATCTGTGGAATCTGTGGATGTGTTTCTACGGTCTGTTCGGGGAGGGTACCCGAGTGTGCTTCGTGGTTGTTGGATGTTCTTGTGCATCCTGGGGGAGGGTACCCTTGGATGCTCTGCGTGTTTCGGCTGGCGGTGTTCATGGAGGATGCTCATCTGTCCTGGGGTCCGGCCGTATTGATTTGTGTGTGCGTGTCCCTGGGCGCCCTTGGTCATGCCGCTGCCCCTTGGTCCAGGGCCTTGCCCCCCCCCTTATTGCTCGCCCTAGCCTGCCACTGTTCCCCCCGACCCTTTCTTTCCGTTCGTTCGTTCTGGTGGTCTTTCGTCCTCCCCCCTGCCCCTGTCATGGCATCGCTCGGACATGTGCATTTTTTCCCGGTGGGGACCATTGCGGAGCATCCTATCCTGGTTCATCTTGCTTGCAGAGAAGAAACGCACGAGGCCGAACAAAACGTGGAATGGACGTCCTAACGATGGCGAGCTGGCCTGTCCCCTCCCCTTCGGGGTCACGCCCACCTGCCCCCCACCCCCCTCCCGCCCATTTCCCCCCTCCTGCACAGTTCTGTTCTAGAGCTCGGGGCCTCTTTTTTTTCGTCGTGGTCCTCGTTCGCCTCCCCCTCCTCCTCCTCCTCCTCCTCCTCCTCCTCCTCCTCCTCCTCCTCCCCCTCGTCCTGTTTCCTCCTCCTCCTCCTCCTCGTCCTGTTTCCTCCTCCTCCTCCTGTTTCCTTCTCCTCCTGCTTCCTCCTCCTCCTCCTCCTCGTGCAAGGGCCAGGGCGTGCGTCCGAAGTTGTTGTGGCAGGTCCGTGTCTCGTGTCGACGCGGCGGCGGCCCCAGCGCGGGCGTGAACGGTCGAGCACCGCCCGTGGTCTGGTCGGCGGCGAGCGGGGGGGGGAAGCGAGCGAGGGGCGGGCCCTCCCAGAGAGGGCTCGGGAGCCCCCCCCGGGCCTCCTGAGAAGTTTCTACGCTCTCCCCGAAGATGCAGGCGATTTCTCAGAAGGCCCGAGCGCTTTGAGGAACCCCGCCGCCTTCTGAGGGGAGCTTCGCCTTTCTCCTTCTCACTTCCCCCCTTCGCTCGCCGCCAGTCTGGAGCCAGTCGATCGAACTGTTTGGGCTGTCGGAGTGTCGCGATCGTTCGAGTTTGAAGGATCCACGCGGTGGCAGAGACCAGCGCGCAACCGTCACGACACTATCCAGTCGTGGTCCCATGTGGCCTTGCAACGATGAGTTCGATCGCAAATCATGGGAGCCTGGTATACCCTCTGAATTCCATATTTAGCGTCGACTGGCGTCGACTAGCGTCTGGGAGTCGATGAGATGTGCCCATTTAGCGTCGGCTAGCGTCGATCAGCGTCGAGTTAGCGTGGATTTCGCGTCGATCAGGCCTCGATTTAGCAAGCGCCGACAAGATGATATGGGAGGCTCCCGTGAGTTGCCACCGAAGATGAGTTGCAAGTTCAAGGCGCGCATGCCGTATTTTTGTGATGGCCCTTGACAGCACCCGCGCCTCTCGGCCCGTGTTGCCCCAGGACGGCGGGACAGCTTCGTCGCCACACGCTGGGCGGAGCCTTCTTTTGCATGGGGCGGGGGGACGAGGGAAGGCGTGGCGCTGCAGTTATGATGTTCCAGCCCACTTTGGCCCGACTCACCAGGAAGAATTTCGAGCACCAAGAACGCACCGAAACTAGAAGGTTTTCACGTGTCGGGCCCTGGGAGACTCGTTCGACACTGTTTCGACACTGTGTTGATACTGCTTCGATGCCGTTTCGAACATTTTCTGGGTGCTCGAAACTATGTATGAGATGTGGTCCTCAAGTACGATGGGAACAAGATAACGCTACAGAGGGTTTGACACGGTTGGTGTTTGCATCATGGCGTGCTCGGTTGGAAGGGGTACATTGGACTCCCATGCCAAGAAACCTTTTGCTTGCCTCCAGGGTGCCCCGGGTTTCTTGTGGTCCGATGGTCTTGCTATGGAGAGCGTGACGTGCCCACACCATAAGTCAGTGGACGCCTGGGGGTCTCAGGGTCGGGTTTCTTGTGGAAGGTCTCTTGTGGTCGGACCTCTACGGTTTGGCTCGAAGAGGAGCAACAACGCCATACACAAATTGTTCTGGCGCTCCGCGCGGATTCCTTGGATCTACGCTGGACCCCCCCCGGCGGCGCCTCTGGCGGCGCCTCCTTGCACGCTCCGCGCGCCAGGGAGGAGGCTCCAGCGCAGATCCGAGAAATCCGCGTGGAGCGCCAAAAGTTTATAATCATGGCTTGCTCAGTCTGAAGGGGTAAGGCTCCGTTGCGTGCCCGCTCCTCTCCCCGTGCGGACGTATGATGTGGCCGCCCGTGCCGGGGGTATTCGGTTTCTCGTTCACAGTCGGGTGATCAGCTCTGTCTCTGTCGCTATCCCTCGCCCTCCTTCTCTGCTCCCCTATGTCCCACGTGTACCCCCATGTTAAATTCTGGAGGCCTGGCGCGCCGCGCAATAATAGTAGTATTATCCAGTCCACTCTTCAGCTCTGTAAGCCATTGGTCGACGTTTGCGCGGCGATGCTCCGGCGTCAGTCCGACGTAAATATGACGTAATCTGACGTGAAGCCGACGTACATCCGACGTAAATCCGACGTGGATCCGACGTAGATCGGGTCTTCGCGAGGCCTCCAGGATTTCTTTCACAATTGTTCTCTCCATCTTCCCCTCTGTATGCCACCCTATGTCCAGAACACCGCCTCCCGCCCCGTGCTCCGCCCATCTCCCCTGCTGCCGCTGCATACTTCCAGTGTGAAGTCGGGCGTGTCCCTCTACAGGAGGAATATTCAAAAATAGTAGAATCAAAACAATCCGGGGGCGATTTGTCGAATATCTCCATATAAATATACATATACACCATGTTGGAGCATGTTTTGACTATTTGGGATTATTCCTCCAAGATGTGCCTGTATGGGGGACATGCCCGACCTAATTCCAGTGTGCTCGATCGCCTCGCTCCCTCTGCCTGGCGCCCATGGTGTAGCATTGTCGGCACTCGCCCCTGCGTGCTCGCGGGGGCAGTTGTGGGGCCCCGTGGGGCCTGTTGGGATCCTCCTCCTCCTCCTCCTTCTTCTCCTTCTCCTCCTCCTCCTCCTCCTCCTCCCTCTCCTTTTCCTCCATTCCTTCTCTTTATAGATAACTTCTCTATGTCGCACCCCGAGGCCTATTTTTAGCGTGGGCCGGGCGTTTCGCCTGAGACTTCGTCTCCGTTTATTATTCTGAAGCTTACAAGAGTGGCAACAGTTTCACAGATGGAGGGCGGGTGGTTTTGAAACTGTGGCTCTCGCTTCAGCGCCGCGCAGATTCGTTTTTATGAAATTGCAAGGACTTCGCGGATTGAGGGCGGGTCGTTTTCAACATGTGGCTCTCGCTTTAGCGCCGCGCACATTCATTTTTTGAAATTGCAAGAGTTTCACGGATTCAGGGTGGGTGGTTTTCAAAATGTGGCTCTCGCCTCCGCGCACATTCGTTTTCAAAAATTTGTAAGAATTTCACGGATTGAGGGCGGGTCGTTTTCAACATGTGGCTCTCGTTTTAGCGCCGCGCACATTCGTTTGTTGTTGAAATTGGAAGAGTTTCACGGATTGAGGGCGGGTGGTTTTCAAGATGGGGTTCTCGCCTCAGCGCCTCGCAC